CCGGTTTTCTCACGTTTTTTTTTTCGGCCAATAGTCGTTTGTTGTTGCTGTTAACAAATTCGTTAATGCCGGCACTGGAGTCTGCGTTCAGGTTACTCGAGTCATAAAGGCCAGCGTCCAGACGCTAAAATAAACAGACGCATCTACCGTTGACAGAGACAAAATAGAACCGTCTCGGTGCCGGGCGCGGCCCGGCATATCGATTTCTAATCGATGCGCCGCCGCCGCCAGTGCGGCCGGTAATTGCCTCGTCAAAATTAGGCGCGTTGTCGGGCGTCGGCAAACAAACGGTCGAGATAGCGCGTCCGAGTGATTAACGGCCGTATAATGGACGACGCTGAGACCGGTAGCCGCTTTCGCTCCCCCGGGCTGGTGTACGCTCCCCGCGATTTATACGATTTATATCGCGCGCCGTTCGCCTCTATCGGAACACCATGTTCGGCCAACAGCGCCGGACATGCTCAGCCGTTGGCGGCTCTGAGTAGTCGTTGCTAATTGTAACGTGGCGGTTTTTTTTAAAAGTTATATAAAAACCGCATAAGTTATCACGGTAAAGACATGCAGCTTACTTTGGCGTTTTGTATCTCAAACAGAACATAACGACATAAAATATTATCGTTACTAATATACAATATAAAATAAAAAAGGATAACACTTTTTTCTTTTTTACTGCATACCCCTGTTTCGTCTTCCACAAACATTTGTAACAACAGCGAAGCTTATTTTGGTAAAGTTTCGGCAGTTTTTGCAAGCATTTCCCCGGCTGCCGGCTGGATGCTAATTTGGGTGCATTTAGTTATTTTAAGGAACGGGAGGGAATCTGTGTACATTTGACGTCACATTTTCTTACCGGTTCGTCTCTTGCGGGGCTTGTGATCCGCTTGGGTCTTATGACTAATCCGAACATACATTTTTATAAAACTTTTTAATATTGTAAAAACGTCTTAAGTTAATCGACGTTTAATGTCTTAGATCAATGTTTCGCTCGGGTGTTATGTTACGTACAATTTTATCACTTGTTAGGTTTATAAGCCAAATTTATCGTTTTCAAACCGGTTTCATCTTTTAAGTCCTTCGACTTTATTAAGCTGTATTAATTTGAGTGACAAATAAGAGGATCGACAGTTTCTTTAAATTTTAAATAAACTGATCAAGGTGGGCGTGATTTTTCGAGGTGATCTAAACCGATTTTTATTGATCTTTTATGATCTAGATTTTATATACAGAGATCGCAAAAGTTACGGGTCACATCGAAATAATCACGATGTCTTCAAAGTTTTTTTTATGTGAGAATGTGGCCAATGAGCTAGTAGTTCACCTGATTTTAGTTCATAACCGCCGCCCATTGAACTATCACAGTCATTCGTAGCGACCCGTTATTTTGCGGCTCTGTTTATATTCTTACCGTTCATCTCGTTGAAAAGCCAGCTTCTTTGAATAGCGACCGCCTTGCATAAAGACTAAGTGCTAAAGCTCACGCTAAACGCTAACACTTGTTGTGGCGGATATTAGGCTGTTCTCGTATTTCTAGTGTGGTGTAGTTCATTTAAATGTAACAACGAGTCGTTGTAACGGTGCTTTTTTCCCGTATCCGTGCACGATCTCTCCGCAAAGCGTTTTTGCGCGTGAGATAACGCCATCATTGTCGATGAAATCCACCGTGAACGCGACGCGGGTCTTTGCGAGCGCCGCGCGCCGCAATGGCCGCCAATATGTGTGGCGAGTGGTTGCCACATAAGTGGAATTCGCTTATCTGGCAAGAGGCATTAGGGGTAACAGTTCCGCTATCTCTCTCGTGACTATTGCGGCTTGAGGTATTTATTTGCCTAAACAAGGCTCAGTGTCCGGGCGCTCGCCTTTGATTCAATACACTCGAGCAATCTGAGATCGATCCCAGGTGCCGACACCAATGAAATTGTTGATTTTAAGTGCTGAATTATCAGGTGTCCCCCATCGTGATATTTCCCCCGCGTGACCCCCGAGAATATGTTTTGAAATAATAAAAAATATTGCAAAGATATGCCAATCCGCACTGGGGTCACGTGGTACACAACGCTCTAAGTCTAATACCCTTTGTGCAAAGGATTACATTAAATAAAAATATTACATTAAATTTACCACTTTTTCACGGTGGTAGGGCCAGGCAACAGCCGAGGCTGTTGCACGAATGAGCAGGCCCGGCCGGGTAAGTACCACGACCTCACAGAAGACCAGCGTAAGGTGGAAGTATTACAAATACTTTCGAGTTTCGTCTGGTGAGTGAGGTAGCCGGAGCACAATTTTCAAAAGGTTGTCAACGCATCTGTAACCCTCGGGTGTAGCAGATGTCCATGGGCGGCGGTATTCACTTACTATCAGGTGAACCGTCTGCTCGTTTGGCAACTTTTCACATAAAAAAAAAGTTTAATTTTTACTTTGTTTACTTAGTGTTCATATGTGGACAAACGTATCGACTAGACGGAGTGTTGTTGCAAAAAATATTTTTGTTTATTCATAAGGATTACAAGGGAATCGAACCCTATTTGTGTGACCCACAGATAGTTGTTTTGCCTCTGAGTGTTGGTCCGCGTGAAATTTATGTTTGAAAAACGTTCTTACAACATAGGACAATGTTATCCTATATAAGGGCAATGTTTAAAAAAAAATATGAGGTACAAGTACAAATACAGTAGAATGCTATGATATTAAGTCCGCCCTCTGAAACCTATTTTTAAGGTGTTTCAATGAAGAATAAATAAAAGAATAAATAAATGTACCTACCTAATTCTATATTGTAATCGCTGTATTGTGCAAATGTGGCAAACTCATAATTTTGATATATTATTTTTTTTGCACAATTTGAGCTATTGAGTTTTTAGTCATATCACTACAATGACATAAAGCATTAAAGTATCATCAGCGTTCGTTTGATCGGCTCGTCATGTTTTCGTTTCGCACTGTCATAACATACCTATTCGGGTCATAGGTTCTATCACAAACACTTCATGATACAAATTCATTAAAGTATCATCAGCGTTCGTTTGATCGGCTCGTCATGAAACTACTTACGGATTTAATTTTTAATTTTCATTTTTAATTCGTTTCGCACTGTCATAACAGCGTACATATCTATTCGGGTGGGGTCATAGCGGCATTTCTATCACAAATAAACACTTCATGATACAACGATGCCATTTTCTACATACAAGACTTTGAATATTGACCATCAAGAATAAGTTTATCGATATTCTTGATTTTCAACGCAGGAATATTGCATAGGTCATAGTTTAAATGCAAAAGGCGATTAGTTACAAGGATTTAATCGCGTTTTAATTTTTCGTGTTTTTTAATTCCCGACGCAATTTTGAACGAAGGGCTGTTTTTTTAAAAAAAAAAAGGTCCAGCGTTACACATCCAACTTTTTTTAACACTTTTCTTATTTCTATCTCAAAAGGGAGGGTGGGGTACTCACTATTGCCCGGATTTTTGGACAAGCGAAGCATTCTGCAAAATTGCTTAATATATTGTGTGTAGGAAAGTATGAAGCAAGTCTGTACAAATAGGTACACCTCTTTGTCTATACTTTGTCTATACTCTTTGTCTGAGTTAGGGTTGGCGCAATTCAGCCGCGCTTTGCAGATTTAGGTGAGCGTCGTTCAATAACTCCCAAGCGCCGACGACGCGCGATAATATCGCGCCCTCTGGTAGCGCAAGGCTGCCAACTGCCACGCTTGCCGTGCAATTTATGGCGCGAAAATAATTCGTCCGCATTAATAATCTGTAGATGCGCCTTCGTCGTTCGCGTTATTGGGGCAGAGAGCGTTTTGTCGTGCGCTTCGTGTTCTGAAGTCGCGCTAGAGAACTAGTTCGTGTTCTCGCGGAATCGATCTATCTATTAACTCATCTATGAACTATAAAAAAAATTGTGTTGGTTTTATAGCGTTTATATTATTTTTTAATTTTATTTCTTAAAGGCGATAAACATCAGTAAGTATAATTTTGGAGTTTTTTTTTCACTCAAATGCCAGATTTTGTGAAGCTTCTATTGTATGTAAAAATTAACAGCCTATACACGTCCATCTGCTCAGTGAAGGCTTCCTCTATACAGAGGGTATCAGGACATGGTCAACCACGCGGCCCCACTGCGGATTAGCGGACTTCACATGTCTTCGAAATGTTTTTTGTTATTATTTCTAAAAACTTCAGGTTTCCTCAAAGTCAGCACTAAAAATTGGTGCCGGCACCGGGGATTGAACTCAGGTTGCTAGAGTATATATTGCATTAAAGGCGAGCGCCCGGACATTAAGCTATCACGGCTCTCTTAAACTTCTATAACTAGCAACTTATTCGATAATTGCTCGACTTTGACTTTTTTTGACTTCTACCGAGTATAAGAGTTTTTCACTTGTTTGCTCGATATTCTTTCCCTTTTACTCTTTTCGTATTTTTGACACTTAGGCCCGGGAAAGCGCTAGACATCGCATCATATACACCAAAGGCACATGTACTCGTGCACTTAAAGAATCGTGCATGACCTCGAAATATGGCATAGGGCCTCGTAAAGTACCGTGCTTCTTTATCCTCTAAATTGGACAAGCCATGTTAATTGCCACACAATTTGAGTTCAAATCCGATCACATTAATGAAACATTATTTCATCCTACGTCGGAGTACAGTAAAGTAAAAGTAGAGTTTGCTATTAATTTAATTATCAGCGTTAGAATAAAACATATTTTATAAGATCGGTTACTCTTGAAAGCCAAACCTTTCCTTTTTGTTTGTACTTATATTTTTTTGTTATCAATGTTAAACTATCTAGTAACTTTAGAAATAACAGTTTATAACTACATAAATATATCTCCAGAAACGTCGTCGACGTGAAATGACAATATTCAATGGGCCTTTTGATCGAGCACAATCGCTTGTAATATAAATTATCCATTTCTACATCTGCTGTAACGGATAATTCGTATTTCAGATAATTATTAACAGTTCACGTTCGCACACCTATCCTACCGTCAATCGAAATTTATGCGCGTTGCCGTCAGCTTTAGTCCGCCCGCAAATTTAGAAAGCCGCTCGGAGCCCGTAGCGCGTAACATGAGATAATGTGTTGTGGCAAAAATTTCCCCCGCAACGCCTGCGCCTGCACAGCCGCCGGCAATGGCGGACACGTAAAGCGCGGGAAACGCCGCCATGCTATCTCGGCAGCGCGCGCAAATCCCCTCCGCCCACGGCCTGCGTTCAGGAACGTGTGATTGTGGCTTAGCTTGGCCGATCGGACTGATATAATAAACTGCACTTTTTTGTTTTTCTTTGTTAATTAATAAGGATGCCTAGTGCTTGACTGCTACACCTACCGTCAGCTGTAGAAGTGACGTTGCAGCCGCAAATGGTATAACGCACTAGTTCATTAAAAACCTAGTACCTGGAGGACCGGAGCTTAGCTCGGTTTTTTTTCTGGTAAATCGTGTATTTTGGAAATAAAAAAAAATAAAGAAAGCAATGATCTGATATAGAAAAAAAAAAATAAGTGTGTAAATGATCGTGACACGAACCGCGGCCTTTTGTTTCGGGGCCGCCCGATTACCGATCGAGCTATTATAACATTTTTTTTTCGGCGAAATTTATCGGGATAAAAGGACATTTTCTAAAAATGTTAAATGTAAAGCTAGATCGATTTTTCGCCCCCGAAACTACGCATTTACAAAATTTCATGAAAATTGCTGGAGCCGTTTCAGAGATTCCGATTATAAATATTGCTAACTAAATAGAAACGATAACTGATTTTTAAAAACAACTTATGGGTCAGTAGAATTCTAAGCAACCGACACAATCGTTATTAATTCGGTTAGAGCTTCAGCACGCTACGATATTTCTAACAATATACATGTATATACAAGAATTGCTCGTTTAAAGGTATTAGACTGACTTTTGCCTTTAAGACAATCACTTTATATTCGGACGAAAAGACGGAAGTCTCCCCGCCTTGGGAGTCGAACCCACGTCTTCCGGATTAGCGCACAGACGCTTTAACCACCAAGTTGGCTAAACAGCTGAATGCCACACCGACAAAAATCTTGACGTATCTATAATGTTTTTTCGCATTTTAAGCTATGCTTGGCGCATCTTTAAAAAAAATTCAAATTTAGTTTTATAATGATAATTCGAACGACAAATTTATAAATTTATATACATTCCCCATTTGTACAATATTGTAGCGTTATACTTCCGTAAAATTTTCCATATAACACAAGATGTAAAAGAAAACTGTCCATACTAAAGTTTATTATTCACAAAGTGGAGGAAACTACTCTATTTTTCTTAAACATTTCACCTGTGAACCTCCGATGAAGGCGCGTCATTGTATCATTTCGAAGTATGATCTAAAATAAAGTATTAATACTACGAGTCTTAAACTCCAGAACGTTAACAGGTACACAATACAATAGTTTAAATAAATTAACATTGCGAATGAGGGGTCCGATAGGGGGTCAGATTTCGCATAAAGGTCAAAAATGTTTAACTGTAGGTACAATTTGAATACGTAAAGCTTTATTCTATCGCATGGCGACAGGCACCTGTCTAGTGTTGTGGCCTAATATTAGAGATTATTCTTATTATCGCTATCAATCTATTAAATTTTATCAATTAAGATATACTTAGTCAACTTTTATGAAGTCAGGAGTCATTCATGTCAAAAGAGTGGCTTGATGGTTGTTTTATCGAAATAATTGATGCAGTATGATGGAGCAAGAGTAAAGACGATTATGTTGTAATTTTTTCTATAAATGTATAATGTACAACGTTATTGACACATAATTGTTTTATTGTAATTTTAAGTACGTACCTTTCGTCAGTGTAACTGATCTACTACGCTCATTTCTTTTGCAAAAAGGAATTTAAATATCCAAAGTGCGTTTAAAAAGCGCACAAAACAAAATATAAATTCAACTCCTTTTAGAAATTTAAATTTTTATAGTGCTAATCTCAGCACTGTGGTGTCGATTCCCACAGCGTCGAAAAACTTTTCGTTCCTTTTTTTTACGCATTTTAATGTTACATCCTTTATTTTTTTTTAATACTGGATAATGGGATTCGAAGTAGCGCAGCTATGTAGTCAAATTTTGAAACTCTAACTTGTGAACAAGATTTTATACTACAAATGGAAACTTACCACAGACATATTTTGTATCTGGATTGAGGATATACATAGGTAAAATCATCATCATCATCAGCTGCAAGGCTACCATTTTAAACGACAATTTGGCATTTGCATCCACATAGGTATAACACAATAAAATATTACTAAGATCGGAAACATCAACATTTTACCTGTCCGCTTCACGTGGGATGCCCCTTTTATAAATAAAAAAAAATGTTAACTCACCTTATTATTAATTCGACTTGCGTCGTGCCGGGAAACATTATACGGCGGGCACGTAATGGATACTCGCAATAAATATCAGTTAAACCGCTCGTAAGCCTTTAATTCCCAATTACCGGCGAATAAGGCGGTATCTTCATCCCGCGTCGGCAGCGGGGTGAGGGGTCAGCCGATACCATGCTACCCATCGCGCGTTCGTGGCGCGGGCGTTAGCTCTCCGAACGCTTGCCCCTTTGCGCCCGACAGTTCTAAACTTTCACTCGGAGTTCGGCTCGTGGAGATATTAGATTATTCCCTTTTAATGTGTAATCGCTTTGCCGTTTCATTATTGCCGTTTCCCTTTCGATTGGTTTTATCGTGCCCAATTCCATGCGGTCTAGAATAGGCAGAGGTTACAAACATCGTAGCGGTTGGAGCAACCAAACTCGAAGACCGTTAGTCATAAAAAAGCAAAGTCGCCAAGCTATCTGCCGCGAAATCTGTAGCATAATCTCGGTAGGATTCGCTTATCTTTCCGGGCAACTTATTATAGAGTAAGGACTCTGAGGAAGATCGTCCCTGGATGTCGTCAACAAGTACGTTTGTGTCGACGACGGCAAGACAACATGATTAAGAATCTTCAACGGTGAGATTCTCGTTGGCTTGGCCGTTTAGCTTAGTGGTTAAAACGTCTGGGCGTGATTCCGGAAGACTCGGGTGGCGAAAAACGTCACCCATTTCTCTATAAATTTCAAAGCTCCGCAAAGAATAAATTGTCCCCGTGTTCCAATTCGGTTCTACGTCTTTACGCCGTCCGCTTGATAAGAATTATCTCGAAAAGGGATTTGTTACTGTCTCTCCGCCGCGGTTCTGAATGCCGTTTTAATTACGGCGTTAGTTGACTTCGCGAGTTTGCGGCCTTCTCTTCGCCGCTATCGGTCGCCTTGCTGTTGCAATTTAATTCTTAATTACTCACGCTGTCGGTTCGAATTTGTCATTCCGGTTACCCTCTCGCGGTCCCCGTACGATAGGATCAGCTCACCCGTATTCGGCGTTATCGTCCTAATGGGGCGTTTGCTCGCCTTAAGCCGTAGTTTGGAGTAAATTAATTAAACTTTCACGCGTTTCACCGCCCGAGACCTTTTGCGTTTTGGGTTTTGCCGGCGCATATCGATTTTGTTCGAATTCGCGACAGAACGATTATAGCGTGATAATGGTAGGCTAAAATTATTGATATTATAGTAGTAGTTTTATTTACGTTTACCTCTTTATTTATTTTCTTACATTTGGCAACGGAAACCTGATGTTAAGTGATAACCGCCGCCCATTGACATTTACAACACCACAGTTGCCGATAAGTTGCCAACTTATAATAAATTGAACCTCCGCTATTCCTCACTCCCCAGACGAAAAGCAGAAGTATAACACGTCCACTGCACGCCGGTCTTCTGTGAGGTCGTGGTATTTACCCGGATGGACCTGCGCATTCGTGCAACATCTAAGACTAGCACAGTTACTTGAACTTGACGTTGTTATGTGCAACTGTATTAGTTATTTATTTTATTATCGTTTTGAATACTTAATAAACAGAGTTTGTTGAAAGGGTGATCAGATAAAGCGAATATCGGATTGCGTATCGATCGCTCCCGGTCGTATTATTTATTCAGTCGCCGCGACCATTCGGTTGCGAGATGCGTTAGGGTTGCCACGATCCGGTTGTTCTAGTGTTGAGATTCTATAAATGTTTATATAATCGTTGGTGTGTACGACGTTGGTATTGTGGGTCTGATTCCCACACGGGACAAATACTTGCGTGACACACGACATTTGGGTTTGACAGGGGGTTGACGTTGGGCAAGTGGCAGTCATAACATGGTTGGCATCTTGGTGGCATAAGGGCAGAGGAAAAAACATAGCATGTGTAACAGATCGTAAATATGACTTCACCGATTGATAGATTCGAATAATATATTCGATTTGGCCAGACGATGGTTCATAGTTTCGCTAAATCCCTTTGTTTCGGAAACGGTAGATCACATATTGCAATTTCCTCGTATATCTTCTGTAAGCATTATAATTTAAATATATTAACTGTTCCATTCACTTACTTTGATCAGATTATTGACCTTTGTTTAACCTTATAAGAAACTGATAAATATCCCGTCGTATATAATGCCGTGCCACCCCTTGCCGAGAAGCTTTGCTTTACTTCTATGGCAACTAATGTATTGATCAAACAAGATCTTTGAACACGTGTACTGTACTGGAGTAGTAAAACAATAATTACCCCAGAGCGTGTGTCGTCTGACAGTATGTTTGTACTCTATATTATTTTTAGTCATAAAGACAACGTGGGTAATAAACTCAACAGATATATAAGATTATGTGGGATTATTAAAATTAATTAACCAAGCGCTCTATAGCTAATTTTCTACGTTTTTCACCCATTAGAAACGTAAATGTTCAATGCATTGTTATGATTATTTTATTGTTTTAATGTAGCAATTTAGTAGTACGGAGGAGGTCCTTAGTACGGAGGTCTCGAAATCAACTATTGTACAGTACAGTTTTATTGACCCAAATTATTAATAATTATAGAAATTATGAATAAATACATTCGCCAAACAATTATTTCAGTATCATAAAGAGCCAATATGAAAAACGCACCGTTACCATTTATAGATGTTTAAATTTATACGTAGTACGATACAACATTTATTCAAGTAGAATTTAATTCCTTAGAATATATTACCCCCAGACTTCCTTACTAGTAGTAATCGATTTATCGCAACCACCTTAAGGTCTTAACCCAATAATTCTACGCCATCGGTACGCTATGTTTAACTACGCATAAAACTGGCGTAGATAAACCCTCGCGACAGTCGACAGGCGCGGCGACGGGAGCTACCTGTCTGACGTAGATATAGGTATACTTACTGTACCGTCCGTGTGTACCGTCGAGGGCAAAAGACGAATCATCGCTTAGTTCCTAAAAAATGTTCCTAAAACCGAATGACACCGTTGTCGGCACATGTACATCAACGTGAAGTGGGAACGGGACGGAAAGCGATTCATTCATGATTACGTGTTGTTCAGAATGAGTCGGTATTTCTCCTCCTAAACCTTAACCCATAATCTTTATATTACGCGCTAGAATATATATATTGAATTTAATTTGAATTGACGGGAATCGGTATGACGTAATTGTTGTTAGTGCGGAGTATCAAATTACTTCTTTCTTTTGTTTATGCCAATATTATTAGTTGCTTCAGATGTTACTGATTAACCGAAGTTGGTTTTGATTTTATTCTTAGTCCTGATGAAGCAAGATTGTCATGTTTGCTGTACATATTTCAATCATTTTTCCTATAAGGCTTCATCGATCGCTGGGCCCACGGAAACAACAAACTGTCACGTTCGATTTTCATAATGACATCCTTATCGTAATTGTAGTGTACAGTAACACATGTTTACTAAAGACCTGTCAATCATTCACACATATGATAACGATACTAATCAATGTTTAACGCATTTTCCCTGAAATATCTTTCTCCAAAAGAAGTTGTCGATACTGTTTACTCCGATTCCGTAAAATATATAATGCTTAATTTGATATACAGCATGTGAAAATGCTACGAGAGATGTCGGCTTTTGCTCTTAAAATATATGGTAAATTTTATTTACGCTAAATTTTGAGAGCAAAGTAAGGAAGTAGAAGCGAACCTACACATCCCGGGTAACGCACTCAAAGGTTCGACTCCCCCAACATTGAAAGCTTTTGTACTAAAATTATGTTTATTTCACATATGTATTGAAGTTTAAAATTTAGATAACTACGCGTGCATCTCATTTTGATATCAAACATTCTTCTTTGGAAGACATGCAAGCGGCTATCTACTTTTTTACGTAAATTCATGTGAAGCTACAAAAACATAGAATCTTACCCTATCGTAACATTCGGGGTGGCATTATGTACGATGCCTGGCGAAGCAGCTTTTATATTATATTGAATGGCGGTGTAGCGATGATACATTCCGGTATTATTTTATACTTTTATAACTGTCATGAAGATGGGAACGCGGGATATTTCATTTTATAAGCTCGTCAACATGTAGTCTGATCAATGTGTTTTTATACACTTGTATCTAGCGCCGGCCTATTTTCGCCATGTCGCGATGTCGCTTAGTGCTCAATTTGCCGTTAGAGTGCCGCCATCACCGTAGTTCAACGCGTATGTCACTCGTCACGCGTCGCTACCTTCTGAGCTCAGACCGGGCAGCGCTGCGAACTATTAGATGTAATTTAGTCACGGCAAAGACACATCACGGACCACTGCACATACCTGCCCGGCGAGGCAAGACATTTTCCAATTAAAATTGTCAACGAGCGCAATGAACTAGATTTTGCTAAACCTGACTATCCCAGATCCTACATCGATTTGTTCTATTGCTACTAGATGGACACAAAATGCTGAGACTGTAGGGTATTGGACATTCCTTTATTCAAAATTTGGTATACCCACCAACGGAGATAGATTCTGGTTTTGGCTTCTATCTTCTGCAAGATACAACTATATTTATATTACTTTGCTAAACGTTTACTTGATTAAAGATTTTTGGCTTCTTCCGGCTGCACATAGACTACCGTGGCTCACCTGATGTCCAGTCCTGCCTGCCCTTTCACCAGTTCGCAGCTGGATTTGATGGATGCCACTAATTGTGCAGTTAAAGTGGCTAAGTTCTGGGCCGACGAGATAGGTTTTGTCATCGACACATAAAGAAGATTTTGCATAAAATATTTTCAAATCAGTAGCACTATTGTTAATGAGATTAATCCCCGATCGCGTAATGAACACAAACAATACGATGATTAATTCAGTTCAATCTCGTGTGCCGCATTACAATAAAATTCGTGCCTTTTGTATAGAATTCCTATTGAGTTTGCTAATGAGATTGTGACGCGATACGTATCACGGTCCGTGTAACGGTTAGCTTTTCATTACATACGTTTATTTGCCTCTGGCGCATTATTCTTTGACCTCGCCTCATCGCTTTCACACTTTGCTTAGGTGTTATCGTTGCCCACCTCCGACTTTAGACGCCGAAGCGTTATAATTATCGTTTTATCCGGCTGCATTCACTTACAAAGCGAAAATCTCCAACCCGTCGTGATCTGTGATAATTTTTAATATTACAAATCTCGTGTAGATTTATCTAAATTGTTCAAGGAAGCCTGTTTGCTAGTGGTGCCGTTGGAACTGACTTATGCAATTTGACATGAAACTTACGGTGGTCTGTTGTTGTGTATTTCAGTTTATCTTGAAATTTGATCAATTCTTGTAGATGTATGGCAACGTTGCTTACCCCTGGGCGAGTTGATCTTTTGACAGGGAATTTCATAATTCCGTTACAAACGGTTAATCTAATGAAATTAGTTGTTCCGCCGCTTGCGCCTTACACCTGCGTTGTTACATGAATTTCTCTATCATAATAGTGGTATTTTGCTGTCTGTATGTTGATTAATGGCCCTTGTAATCTTAGTTGCTGTGTATAAATAGTTTCAAAATAATATATTTAAGTTAGCAACATTTACATTTCTTTGTGTTTTTGATGTATTGTGAGCAAAATGTTGGAAATTTAATCTCATTTGGCTGGATTTTAAAAGGTATCGTGATCAGTGAACGTAAATAAAACATTAATAATTTGCGTTCACTGATCGTGGTTGGTTTTACTACTTTGTTTTCCCCTTCCAATTCCATTTTATGTGTAGAAACACAGCGTTTGTGATACGATAGGCTTATTGTTTACATCATACGTCAGACAGAATTACTTAACTTTTAATGTTTTTTTTTTTTTGCGAAAAGTTCAAGTTCGAGCGAACAGATGTTTCGTCCATGGATATCTACAACACCAGATGCGCCGACAACCCATTAAAAATCGGCCCCGGTTACCTCACTCACGAGACGAAACGCGAAAGTTGAGGCCGTAGTACTTTCCCGGACGCGCCCATCCATTAGCTACCTTTTAATAAAGTAGGGCTCGGTTACCTCACTCACCAGACGAAACGCAGAAGTATAATACTTCCACTTCCGGTTTTCTGTGAGGTCGTGGTACTTACCCGTAAGGACCTGCCTATTCGTCGAACCCGACGTCCAGATAACCGAGTCAAGCCCGACCAGACCGTCGCGTTCTTTAAAGTAATTCGTATTCAGTTAAATGAAATTAACATTGTTATGTATATCACTTAAGTTTAAATTAGTCCTGCGTCTATTATGTTACGTGTGTAAACGATTTAAAATTCATTATCTCATTTCATGCCCCTGGTCGTAAGCCGTCATTTCGCTAGATTTGCTAGCGTTTTCAATTATAGATCACCGTCTCGATATTCACCAGTTGCTTTTATAGTGGCTGGAGAAATGTTTTAATTCCAGTGCTGGACGTTGATTTGTCTCAGCCCACTGCAACGTGTTCTCAAAGTTCTCTCACGTGCCTAATGGCAGCAATGGTAATGAAGGGCTTTGTTATCCAATACGGCACTGATTTCCCGGTTAATTATTCCATCATTCAAAGCGATCAGTACTTATTCCACGTAATAATGTTATAGTATTTACTTGCCTTAATTGAAGTGTATTATGTTTACTTTCAATATTACGCGCTTTCCTATTGGATTGCAAATCTATCGTGTAGCGACATGGTTGGAGCTTTATTATTAGTCATAATCTGTTCTTACATATGTGTATTTTTTTAAATAAAATTTTGTATAAAACTGTGACTTTTTAATTAAAACCTGCAAGCGGATGAACTTTTTTTCTAGTTTCTGGGTATTATATATGTCATCATCATCATTATCATGTCAGACGAGATAACCTGTGTAAAAAATTGTCGTATAAAAAATTAGTCAGTATTCACCTGTTAGTTATACTCTGTAATGTTTTGTCACTGAAATGAGTAAGAAGACGAAATTGTTAACCGTCTGTTGTAAAATGTAATCGTTTGGATGTAGTCCCGCTTCTTATTATTTTAACGAGTAAGTTGAATTCAACATTTCACAAAATCATAAAATATTTACTGTCCTCAGTTCAATGTTAAAGGGTATAACTTTTTTACTTTGTTGCATGACTTCAATTCTATGAGCTTATGTCCATTTTGATTACTATCTTATAACGTAAACGGAACTCGGTGTATAGCGGTAATTTTAAGTATCGAAATCTATTTAGGATTGTTGTGTATTTTAACTTTCATTTGGATTCAGTGTGCATGAAAGTCATTATTTGCCTTGATAGACATTTAAATATAAAATAAACCTAATCATCACAATTTGAATTTCGAACTGAAATTACTTTAGCAAGAAAGTTTTAACGTGCGGGGTCAGGCCTATGGAACTGTATGGTGCAACCGTTTAGCGTGTTTTCCACCTTGTCGCCATCGACAGTTTGCGTTGTTTCGAATTTGTGACATTGTCTCGTTGCTTTGACGGGAGACAATGGGCGGCTTTCAATCCAGGTCACTTCCTAGCCGATTGACACGTTTCCTGGTGCGGTATTCATGCAAAATGGATTTCGTAAACGCTCCTCAAATTGTAACTTTGTGCACTTACGTATATATGTGTTAGTCAATGCTTTGTTCTCTTTTTGGATCAGGTAGTTGTGTTATTGCTAATCCTTTTCTGTATATCTTCTTCTTTCTCCGTCTAATAGATTTATGGTTCATGTAAATATCGCCGGATTGAATAGCCGAGATTCGAGCTGCCTCTTGATTATCACCTCATCGTGATGACACGTAGGTTGAGATGGAATTGGCGTGCCAGCGTGCGCGACCTACACGACCCACACGGGCGGACGGGTTTCTGCCTAGAGCAGTACGCCGTATAGGCCTCTTGGCCACGTAAATGCGAGGATTTGAATGGTATTGAACTATGTTTCATATTTTTAATTTTATTTTTAATTTTAATGATAGTATTCACTTAAGATGAATCTTAAAGTTTGTAGATACATATGCCGCAAAATTTTCGCATTCTTAAAAATGCTTTAAAACAACGTATCTACGTAGGTAGTATAGTCGTCGAGATATTCGCGCGATGATGATGTGGCGTAGACAATTAGCGTAGTGGCTAGAGAGTCCGAACGTGTAATCAGGAAGGCCTCGGTTCGCACGGGCAGTGGTGAAAAATTTAGCTACACTTTTATCTTCACCATTTATATTTCAGATATCTTGTATCAAATCTGCCGTCTGTTCATAGAAATACATTAATTAATATTTGGTTAAATTAATCAATATTTGAATTAAAAACTTTATATCTTTACTTATCTTAGGTTTAGTTTGTAATATAATTTAATGGCGTATTAGTTACTGTATTAAGGATTATTTTCGAATTCTTAAAAGTATCTAGTACACACTTTACGTTTCTCAATCTTCTATACATTAATTTGAAATTTGACACTTATTATACCAATGTACGCATATAACACAATCCATTTTATACATACTATTAAGAGTATAATGTTTATTACCTTAAAAATATACGAGACATAAAAATCACTTCAATCATTAACATATTTGACACCTAAATACAGCAACGTCTTAGTGCTAAGTCTGCTAGCTAACTAAGTCTCTTTTTTCATTTAAAAATGTATAAAAGCAATATCTTATTTATAATAATAATATATAATATATTGATTGTCTGTATTTTAAGAAAGCGTGAGTTACTCTTTGTGTAGATATGTCTATAACATATGTAATTAGAATTGTAGGTACTAAAGTCCACACATGGAGCACTAAATTGTTTTCCCTGCCGTTAATACCAGTTTATTGAATATTTTAAACGGTAATATGTTGTCCTCGTATTTAGTATAACATTATATGATTATTAGCATTTCCATTTAACCGCCGCTTAATGCCTCTCTAAGAATGACATTGTCCAGCAATAACAGCACCCTCCAGAGGCGGAGTGGCATCTCAATGCATCGGCAAATGTGACAAGAGAAACCCAAACATGATACCGCCTTCCATAAATAACCTGAGTGATAATGATTCGTATTGACCGCGGTCGCGTGATAGACGACTTGACATGCGTAGGGTTGTCACTCGAATGTATCATTACTATGAACCGTAGCTATGTATGTCTTCATTTTTGAGAACAATACTTTATTGGTAAATATTATCTAGCGTTGTTACCCTTGAAAAAGTTCCTGTGTATATTAAAATTTAGTCTTTTTAATTCTTCTTTTCTCCTTCGTTCCTTTAAATAAAAATTAAGGTTTTTATTTTTGTTCCCTATGCATTCCTTAACAATTCATCTACATATGTGGAAAGACTTGGCAAAAAAAAAAAATAAGTAGTTTCGCCGTATGTTTGTTCTCTACGCTAAAAAAGTTTTTATTTTATGAATCGAGCCTGGTAGTGCTATCAATATTATGATTCAAAATCTATGTTTGTCCCTCTTTCATTCAGACATAAAACAAGTCATCGGCAATTTTTTTGGTTTTTTTACAAAGAGATAATATTTAAATAGTCGGCGTAGTGGCATACGGTACGTATGACACATACGATACTTTTAACATGAGAAATGAATTTTTCTTGTATGTTTATCTGGAGCGACGCGTTCGATGAAGCTTTAATAAATAGTCAACGGGCTAAAAGCATAAAACATCAGCTAAAGTGAAGATGCTAAGCTATGATTGTAGACCTTTATTTTTAAACTGATTGTTGATCTATGTTATCGATATTAGAAAAACGGGGGCAAAAACCAGTATTTAAACACAGAGCTTA